CATATTGGTGCATACATCATTTGTAAAGGCGATTTCGACTCTGGATCCTCCCCAGGTTAGGTCCTTCATGTTATCCCTCCGTTGCCATTTTCTGCTCGCAAGCAAATAACATAAGTGCTTGCAACATCACTGTTCTTGCGCGTTTATGGGATTGCTCCTCACTCGAGTGCAAAAACAGTAAGCCAATCTGAATCGGTCTTTTTCTTGCTAGGCAGATAGAATTGCAATCCAAAAAGGTCAGTGGAGCTGGATTACATTTCCCGAAAATCTATAAAATCTTCTGAAGAAAGAGGTAGAACACGCATGTAATAACAGCTCGACAGTCCGTGTGACGCCGTTATGCCCGTGAGAACTCTTAGAAGCAGATAAAACACTTCGGCTGCTCAAATATTAGTCCAAACAAGGGCAAATAATCGATGAATGATACATTAGGGAACTACACAAACCTTTGCTGTACAATTTCAAACGTCCCTGCACAGACGTGATAGCACCAAGCACTGACAACCGGTTCACTCGTGATTTGATGTTAGATGCAGTCCCATATTCATCGGCAAGCATTTTTTGAACTCGCGCAATTTGGTCACGAGGAGGGATAATCAGAGAGATCATCGATGTTCCATTTCTGTAAAGTAGATAACGCAGAGTGACAAAAAGGACTGCAAATCTTTCAAAAAAGTGGCTGATTACCCTCGTGCGAGTTCCAAACTCTTTATGAGTCGTTTGATTTTCCACATCTCGACATTTCGATCCGCAGAATCTTCGACACCAGCGACAGGTGGTGGAGCCGACATGGTGGTCCGCTTCTTTTACCAATGAGTGAAGAGCTCGCCTGAAACAATATACCCATGTCGTACAAAAAGTACAAGCACTGTGCTCAAAGAGGATATAAGAGCTCAAAACGGGAGAATATCATTGAAGCATAATTGTAAAACTTCGCAAATCACGATTTCACCATAACAACACTTTCACTTCCACATAACTTTTTTAACCAAGCAATATTGCGCAAAG